CCTCTGCACAAAAGCCACGTGCAAAAGTGTCCAGTCTGGGGACTCCAGAGGAGGAGGAGGAGGAGTGCACAGCCCTCTTGAGGTCACTGGGAGGAGAGTGAGCCCCTCTCCCCAGTGGCCTAATCCACCTCTTGGTACCCCCCGCAGGAAGTGTCCCCCCAGGGCCGGTCCCAGAGGGCCTGATCCGAATCTACAGCATGAGGTTCTGTCCCTTTGCGCACAGAACGCGGCTGGTCCTCCTGGCCAAAGGCATCAGGTGAGAGATAGAAGGTCAGTGGCCGGTGGCACGGGGGATGTTGCAAATCTGGAGCGGGGTCCCCGGCTTCTCTTCCGCTCTGGAGATGCGAGTCTGTCTGGGTCAGCCTCTCACGTTTGTTGTCTTGTTTCCCCTTTGCCTTTTAAGCTATGAGGTTATCAACATTAACCTGAGAAACAAGCCTGACTGGTACTATACAAAGCACCCCTTTGGCCAAATCCCTGTCCTGGAAAACAGCAGATGTCAGCTGATCTACGAATCTGTGATCGCTTGTGAGTACCTGGATGATGCTTATCCGGGAAGGAAGCTGTATCCATATGACCCTTATGAGCGAGCTCGCCAAAAGATGTTATTGGAGCTATTCTATAAGGTATGTTGAATTTTTTTTAAAAAAAGCCACGTACGCTCTCTTACTTTGTATGTTTTTCCCAAACTTCAGTTCATTTTTAAAGCCCAATCATCAGTGACATTGTTTTGTTTTGATACTGCGTGTGCCTTAGGAGAATAACTGGTATGCAATTATAGCAGAGCCATCGCCTCTGATATTAAAGGTTAAAGGCTTCACTGAGAGGTGCTTTCCATGTGAACTAGCAGTCTCAGAGGTATGATGATGGCAAAGTTTTGACTGTGTGACTTAAGACAGGAATATTGAAAGAGCTGAAAACTGGTGATGCTTTACAGGGAATATTATTAAGGTTTCAGGTTTAAAAATATTGGGGAATAAAGACACTAACGCACGGAAGGGAACTGCTCTTTTTTCAGAGCAAGAGTGCCAACTGTCCAGGAAATGTGGAGACAAAAGGGGGTACCTGCTGATAACTGGGAAAAAAGTGGAGAAACTTTAAGATGGTTCTCTTTGAAATGCAATAAAAACAATTGACATATACTGAGCGTGTATGATGTGCCAAGCACTATTCTAACTCCCTTTATAAAGGTTAACTCATGCAACCCTTACAACTGCCCTTGCACCAGGTGGGTACTATTACTGTATCCATTTTTTAGGTGGGAACACTGGGGCTTAGAGAGGTTAAGTGCCTGCCTAAGATTGTACAGCATGGAAATAGCTGATCAAGTAAGAAGCACTTGAGAACACTTTTTTAAAGCACCTTGTTTTACCAGGGAGCTATGGCAAATGGATTGCTGGAACCACAGAGAACCCTCAGGATACTCCTATTGAGGAGCCGGGATGTGGGCGTTGGCCTGTTAAGCTGGAGGGACAAAGCTTTGGCTGTGTTTTTAGGCAGAGCAGAAGCGTGGAGTTCCCTCAGATTTCTCCACTAAGAAACCTGTGTCCTCTGATTAGGTCCCACATTTGACCAAGGAGTGTCTGGTAGCATTAAGATGCGGGAAAGAATGCTGTGATCTGAAGCTAGCCCTTCGTGAGGAATTCTGCAACCTTGAAGAGGTACAAAAAGGGGCCCCTCTCCTGGTTAGATCCAATGGAAGAAGCGATATAGGGTCGTTAACCTGGTCACCCTGACACCTTCTGCTTGTACAGACTTCGTCTTTCTGCCTGACTTTGATAAGTTCAGCTACTCGTCATCTTAACTCGTGCTTTCTCTATTTTAGAATATGTGCTTGGGTCTGATTTCCAGGAATGGCATTACCAGATCAAAGGGCATGAACACTGTACAGGCTGGAGCTGTATGATGCTACATCCTCCCCAAAGAGCAGTATATGAAAATGCCCTTTGCTCTACCCCCTTTTCACTCTTGGGGAACTTCGTGTAAAAAGATATGTGCCGCCCTAACCGGTTTGGCTCAGCAGATAGAGCATTGGCCTGCGGACTCAAGGGCATGTACCTTGGTTGCGGGCACATCCCCAGTGGGGAGTGTGCAGAAGGCAGCTGATCAATGTTTCTCTCTCATCGATGTTCCTAACTCTCTATCCCTCTCCCTTCCTCTCTGTAAAAAAAAAAAATCAATAATATATATATATTTTTAAAAAGATATGTGCCTGTTTTGAAGAGAGAGAGCAATTTCTCATTGTTGATAGAATGAGTATTTCTTTGATTGCTAGTGAAGTGGGATATTTCCCCCAAAGTATGCCATCTCTTAGTATTCTTGTTTTTTGTGTGAAAATGGTCTGTTAGCCGGCTTGTCTATCAAGGTCTTACTGGTTTTTCTTGCTGATTTGTGAAAGTTCCTTTTAAAGAGTTTCTTACAGGTAAAAGATATTTGCTTGTTTTTAAGACATTTTAGTTTTCTTTTGTTATAACTTTTAACTTGGCTTATCTTTTTCTGTATGCATAGAAATATAACATTAAAAATTCTGTGCCATAATATTTTCTGTTGTGATTTCTTCTGTTGTTTTTATACACAGGAGGTTCCCCCTCACTCCCCGCTTCAGAGATTCGATCAATATTCATTTATCTTTTCATCCACCATCCATCACTTTAAAGATGTTTGACTTGTCAAGCATTGCTTTGCTAGCTTCAACCCCCTTACTAGCTTACAAATAAACTTTGGCAAAAGAATTAAGCCCATTAAGAGGATGCCAGGATAGAATTTTCAGGGTGGTCCTTTAATCCCCAAATGTTGGCAAGATGCCTTCTGAATCTTCATAGTGATGAGCAGCAAGATGGGGCATGTTCTACCAGTCACTACTTCTAAGGTTTCTTTGTAGAGGACAAATGATTTTATACTCTGTTATACACACTTGGTTTGTTTTACGGGTGTCATTGGTTCATTGTCATTAGCTCACCTTCAGCTGTATATCAGTGTAGCAGGGCCCTGGAATTTGAAATCTGGAGAATCTCCCCTTATCTTTTATGAACTCAAGACTTCTACTCTGGAGTTGAGTACTTTACTGTTGCTTTTGGATAAGGGCCTGAATTGCTGGTTTATTGGCAAGCAGCTTTGTGTCTTTTGGGTGTGTGTGTAGGGGGAAGGGAAGGAGAGGCGGTCCTGCTGCTTAAGAACTATTTCTATCAAGAAAAACCTCCTTTTTCCTCCTCCAGCAAGGACATGAGCACCCCAATGTGAGCCATCACGCTGTCTGTCCTCCTTAGAGGCTGGGGGTTCAGGGCAGCAATTATTGAAGCTGAATCCAAGAGTCCAGGACTGTAGACTGAAGCTTTTTAGAATGCCTGGTTTGAGGAAGTCTCGGATTCTCTTCTCTTCGTGACCTTGTTTGTACACAAAACCCTTACAGATAAGATTTCTTCCTCCCTGTGAACCTCCTGAAGGTGCCACAGTCAGTGCGCCTCACCAGCAATGGCCACAAGGGGGAACCCGCGCGCTTCTTCCTTCCACTTGTGCTCCAGCTGCTAACCTCCTTTCCATCCCCCTGGGGGAGCCCGAGAGATCCTCACAGAAGATGAGGGGACCTTCCTACCAGGCTTTTCACCTTCAGGGGGTGGAAATAGTGTTCCCTCATCAAACCAAATGGTCCTTTGCTCTTCATTTGCATGCCCACTCTTCATCTCTTATCACATCCTTTAAAAGCAAGGGGACCACCCTCTGTAGTCATTTTTCAGTGAACTGGAGAACAGAAAGTTTAAAAAATAGATTTTCTATTATTTCAGAACATCAAATGGCTATCCCTCAAATACCTCAATTTCTTAAGCCTGAATTGAAGATGTGTTAGAAGGGCTAGAAGGCAGAGCCTCAGTTCCCTCCCCACATGTGGCCTCGTGAGGGATGCCTGGGCCTTGGAAGAACAATGTCTCCCCTAAGCAGGCCATTTTGCCTTGCTTGGTGATGCCAAGGACAATAGCGCTAAAAGTGAGGGATTCCACTGTGAGGGAAGCTATTCAATATTAAGAATGGCCAACATCACTCACTGTGGCAGGCGGGAAACAGAAAGAACTCAAAATAGAGTTTTTAAAAATGACGTTTCCGTCTTAGCTCTGGCACTAGCCAGAGGGTCTCTTTACCTCCCTGGGTCTGTTTCCTACCCTGACAGTGAGAGTCTCTTGTGCTTCCATGTGAGAGACAAGACTCAGCTTGCCAGGATGTTTTCCTCTCCATTTCTGCTGCCAGGAAACCCAAGTCCAATTCAAAGCTTTAAGGATCTCTGCGGGACTCCGGGCTTGATATCTTGATACCATTTTCCTTCCTTTTTGACCTTCTGTTCTTTTATTTTCCCAGAGCTTAGCATTTTATTATTTTTCATATTTAATATTTTATTGTACACTTCTTTTACCCTGCAGCTCTAATCTTTTGTGTAATGAGCCTGGTCTAAAAAAATGGCAAAATGATGGTGGGGGGAGGGGAGTCACACAAGATGACTTCCAGTGGCCCTTCCGGTGCTGATGTTCTGTGATTCTAAGGGGAAAAGTTATTTCACATGTTTGGAAGTTATCAGGTTTGCATAGAAGGGAGCTCTCCTATTGAGGGTCCTAAGACTTCACTAAATCTCTGAGGAGGGCTGGCCAGTATGTTCTCCTACATCATTGGGATGTGTCTGTAAAGGAGCTGGCATGTTGTGCTAGTTTACAGGAAGCCAGATATTCTGTTGGGATTTTTAGCTTTGCCCTGGGAGAAATCTGGTGGAGAAATGTCTGTCTGAGGCAGCTGAGGCAAGAACGCTAAGGATCTTGATGTGAGTGGTCCCAAGTCACTCTTGGATTTAAGAAAAGTGCAAAGGAATGTGCATATGTATTTTGGGGATGGGGTAGAAGCTGCCAGAAAATAGTTGATGCCTCACCCATTTCATCTATATGCTCATCTTGACTTTTTAGTATACAAAGTACCTTGTTACGACTTGAATTACTTTGTGAGAGCTTATGTACAGGTTGATCATAGCTATAAGATCATATATATTTAATGGCATACACTCCTATTTTGAGTAAATGAAAAGCTTCAGAAACATATACTAAATAAATGTCAATTACTAAGCAACTATTCATTTTCAAAATATCTTGTTACTTTACCAAAGGACCCACCATGGGTTCCATTAAATGTCTGCATATGATTTCTTTTGACAAGGACTTTCCCAAAAGCACCTCTGCTCTGTAAAGCACAGGAGTTACACAGAAATTCCAGAGTTGATCCACTTAGATTGGGTTCTGATTTGTGCCATGAAAGCTAGTAATAAGCTGGAAGTATATGTTTCAAAATCAGTGATACAAATTTGGGAAACTATTTTTATTCCTGAACATAAGAAGTCTTGTGCCTTTCTGGAATCCATGAAAACGGAACAATTTGTCCCTCTACTCTGTATGTCAGATCTTATTTATACATGACTGAAAATAGTCTCTGTTTTGAATTTTTATTGGCCAGATTCTGTTGTTTTAGTACTATCCTGTTAGTGGTTTCTTTGAACAAAGTGACACCATCTCACATTTTTTCCCGATTTTCAGGACACCAGGAAGGGGGCTTCTCTATGCCGTTCTGGGAGAGAATGAAGACTTAGACTTAGGGCCACAGGATTTCCTTTCTTCTCTGAGAAGGATGTGGGGACCCCATTGATCCTTTCTGTGAGGGTGGATTTGCTTTATGTGGATGTAACCTTCTAAGGTCACTGTGCTTTGTCATCACAAGAACTCACTTTATTCATGAATGATGGGCACTAACATTGTCACCATTTTACAGATGAGAAAATTGAGGCTTGGAAGAAGAGGTACATAAGTTGCCGTGGGTTTCATGTTGAATCAGAGGTGGAGCCCAGCACAGGACCAGGAAGGAGGAGGAAGAAGGTGGGGGGCGGGGAGAGAGAAACATCAATGTGAGAGAGACACATTGATTGGCTGCCTCCCACAAGGGTCCCTATGGGGCTGGGGAACCTGCAACTGAGGTACATGCCTTTGACCGGGAATTGAACCTGTGACCCTTCGGTCCACAGGCCGACACTCTAACCACTGAGCAAAACCAGCCAGAGCAGAACTTACTTTCTTAACTATAACCCTACACTACATCATAGAGTCAACATCTGTTTCAGAGTATAAAAAATCAAGCCTGATTGATAAAGATAGGAGTATGGAAATCTAGATAAAGGGCACGGGAATCTAGATCTATAAGTGCAGGGAAGAATTTAGTTGACTATGAGTTAAATGGGTCAAAGTCATCTGATTAGCTAGGTAATTGACACCATACCTTTCTCTCTGGGAAAACCTGGCCCAACAATAATCTCTGCTAAGTACTTTTGCTATTTAAATTTTCAAGTGCTTTTATTTGTTTATTTATTTTGACTTTGGCTGTCTGTTAAGAGTTTATCTGCTTTCTATCTGGATTAATTTGTTCCATTTGGGAAAGAGAAATTTTATTTTAATGTAAAAAATTGTAATGTTGAGTGGCCAACAAGTGTGAAGTTCAAAGAACTGAAATAAAAAAGAAAATATGATAAAAAGACAATGGTGGGATTAGACTCTAATTAGACTAGTGGTTCTCAACCTTCTGGCCCTTTAAATACAGTTCCTCATGTTGTGACCCAACCATAAAATTATTTTCGTTGCTACTTCATAACTGTAATGTTGCTACTGTTATGAATCGTAATGTAAATATCTGATATGCAGTATGGTCTTAGGTGACCCCTGTGAAAGGGTCGTTCGACTGCCAAAGGGGTCGCGACCCACAGGTTGAGAACCTCTGGATTAGAGGGAGTCCATTAAGTAGCACTGCTCTTTCTTGCCCAGCTCAGTGGTTGAGTGTCGACCTATGAACCAGGAGGTCATGATTCAATTCCTGGTCAGGGCACATGCTCGGGTTTCAGGCTTGATCCCCAATAGGAGGCGTGCAGGAGGCAGCTGATTAATGATTTTTCTCTCATCATTGATGTTTCTATTTCTCTCCCTTCCTCTCTGAAATCAATAAAAATATTTTTTTAAAAGAAAGCAAGCAAAAGAGGAAGGCACATGGTGACACAGTATCCCCTTTGTTACAGATAAGTGAATCCTGGAGAGTGGGGGGTCACAACTGGAACAAGTGGGGTTCCTACTGTGGCCCTCCTCCATCCCAGTATTAAGCTGCATTGGCTTGACACAGGGCCTCCCCTCTCTGGGGGCTGAGCTGCTCCATGGAGAGCATAGCACCGGGAGGAGCCTGCTCCAGGCTGAGAGAGGGACAGGCTCCCTCTGCCTGGGTTGTCCTTCCAAATTCTCCCATCAGAGGAGCCACCCTCTCCCTCTAGGGTTCAAAGGAGGGAAGGGACTGAGTGTGGCCAGGAGTGTTACCCTAAATAGGGTGGAGGAAACCTCAGAAAAAGGGAGGAAGCACTTACCTAACAAATCAGAAGGAGAATCAAAGCCTAAGTTCTCCCTCTGTGGGAACTAATTTGATATTTGTATTTAGTATCTATAACTATGCCAGCAGATCAACAAATTAACTTGCTTTTGTTCTGTTTAAACTTTTAGATTCTTAGCTATCAGAACACCGTCTTCTTTGGTGGAGACTGTATATCCATGATTGATTACCTCTTTTGGCCCTGGTTTGAGCGGCTGGATGTATATGGAATAGCTGAGTAAGACATTTGACCACGTGGTCATGACTTCCTGGGGTCGGACTGGGCAACAGTGGTTGAAATGGTGTGTGTGCCATTTATCCTCCTCTGGGCGTGTTTCACGATGCCTGTGAAATGAAATCAGGTTTTAAACTGTTTCCTTGTTTAAAATGCATCTGTGTTGTTCTGCCACGCTCTGTGGACCCACACTCTCCCCATATTTCTGCTGATAAGACCTGTGGTGCCTCAGAGCTACTGTCCTCACCAGCCCATACAAACTCAGGCCAGTGTGCAAGCAGTTGGTGGGTCTTAGTCACCGGGTTTTGGTGACTTGTCTGCAGCTCCCTCAGTGGCCCAGCTCCTGGACCTGCTGAGATAATCCTCCTAAGGATTGTCCAGAAATCCAGTGCCCACCATACACTTTACTCACATTTAATTCTCTGAGGAATCTTCCCCAGATAGGAATATTTAAAAACAACAACAACAAAAACAAGCACTGATTTTAAAAGCAATAGATGCTCGATGTTAAAACAAACAAATGAAATGGCCACCATGGAAGTGTAGGGATGTTCAAAGTAGAAGAAATTGCGTGGAGGTGGTGGGGGGAGGACTATGTAGGGGCCCTGGGCAGGCAGAACATGTGCTTTGTTGTCACAATGCTCATAGGGATGTTCAAAGTAGAAGAAATTGCGTGGAGGTGGCGGGGGGAGGACTATGTAGGGGCCCTGGGCAGAACATGTGCTTTGTTGTCACAATGCTCGGAGGAGAAGGGCCGGCACCTGCTCTAATCCCAGCCAGTCGCATGGTGGGTGCTGGATGCATGGTGGGTGCTGGAAGACTCTGGCATTTGGGAATCCAGTCCTGCCCAGCCAGAGCTTTGAGGGTGCCCTCGTAATTTGCGGGCTTGACTCTACCCAGGAGTCATCTGCACTTCCCCCTTTTGGCTGTCTCTGAGTGAAGATCAGATAGAACATATTCAGATATTTTAAACTCTGTCTCGACACAAACATCATGAAAAACCTGTCTCCTCTGGGGACAGAGTATTGAACCACAGATTTCCCACTAACAGGTTGTACGATCTTGAACAAGTCACTGGACATAGTCTAGACCTAAACTTCTGATCTTTGAAATAATGGAGCCCAATCAGCTCCATTATTTCAAAGTTTGATGATTGTTACTCATTATTTTTTTAAAGTGTTTTGGAAACGACTTGTTTTTATTTTTTCCAAACCCACTAACGTAGGATCTGAGAATGACAGAAGAATGTCTCTTTCAGAGGGTTGTCTTCCTGTTGGTAACCAGCCAGGCATAGGCACCTTATTTCCCCAGAGCAATCAGCCCACACGTATTTTAACTGTATTGTTAAAATCAGTAGCAACTTACACAATTCAAAAGCACACACAGGTATTCCAAAAACAAGGTTTTCTTTCAATAAGTGATCATGCTCAGTTGATCATAGCTAACTAAGATGACTCTATTGCCCAAAGAAACCCATTTTTTTTGGTATCTGAAGAGCGACGCGTGCCATTTTCCCTGATGCCTTCCTCTTCCGGTGAGCTAACACTTCTTTCCTGTCCTGCAGCTGTGTGAACCACACCCCAGCTCTTCGGCTCTGGATCGAGGCCATGAAGCAGGACCCCACGGTGTGTGCTCTTCTCATAGATAAGAACATTTTCCTGGGCTTCTTGAATCTCTATTTTCAGAACCACCCCGATGCCTTTGACTATGGGCTGAGTTGCTGAGCCCCATGGTCCACCCCTTCACCACCCAGAATTCCCATGCATGTTGTGACACTGTTCCAGGAGTTGTTTGGGTGGGTCAATCAATCTCTGTTCCTTTTTTTTGAGGTTCCTAATAAACATGGAGACAGAAAAGGTATTCTTTCTGGTCATCACTGTCTGACTCCTTGAGCCCATAGCTTCTAAGGATTGTCTAGAAAGCCAGTGCCCAGTGCACGTTTTAGGAGCCTGTGTGCCTCCTGGCTCCTTGGCCTTTGGCCCCAGTTTGACCTCCAGATTATTGATGCTGATGTTGATGTTTAAGGCCTGCCAATCATTGACATTTGTCACTATAGACTGGCATCCTCCACAACCTCCCTGGTGGGAGGAAAGGCAGAGAGGAAAAGGAAGAAGAAAACACTCCAAATCCAAATATTCTCCACTTGGCAAACGAAAGCTGCAGCCCACGTGGGTGAGCATGAATATCATTGTCATTCACATTTTGGCTGTGGGCCTGGGAGACACCGGGGGTCCCATGACTGAAAGAATTCCAAAGCAGGAAATGAAACACCCATTATCACCCTGGACTAAAGACGTCAGAATTTTACCAGTGCTATCGGGGCTCAGGATAGCTCACAAAATGTTCTATAGCCAACATCCTGTCTTAAAAAAATACACACACCCCAAACCCAGTCCCAGGCAAAGGTCACTCTGTTGGATTTGCGTCACACACTCTTTCAATTCATTGCAACAAACACCTCCAGTTGCCTGTTGTGTACCAAACCCTGGGACATCTGCGTGATAAGATGACAAAGACATGGGAGCCCTGGGCACACTCTTTCAATTCATTGCAACAAACACCTCCAGTTCCCTGTTGTGCACCAAACCCTGGGACAGCTGCGTGATAAGATGACAAAGGTGACAAAGACATGGGAGCCCCGGGTCCCTCCCTCCACTCATTTTGGTTGGGGTGTTAGACCTAGTGTTTTGAAGCTGCTTGTCTTGCTGTGGGAATGCTTGTCTCAGCCTGATATGCTGGCTCGGACCCCTGAAGGTGACAAAGAGCCCAGAAGAATGGCCTGGTGTGCTGGCAGGTGTCTTAGGCGTGGGACGGGCCTGTCCAATGTCATCTTGTCTCAGGATCTAGGGATCAGCCTGTGATCCTTTTAAGCCTAACTTTTTCCCAGCCTCCAGCCAGGCTGAGACCAGGCAGCAACAGGAGTGATGTTGTGAATTGTCGATGCCCATGGAGGAGCTGTCTGCTGCCCTTGCCTCTGACTCAGCCCAAACCAGCCTCATTTCTCCCCATGTCTCAGCCTGGCCTGGCCATCTGCTGCCTCTGGGTGTATTTTGACGCATGTAAATAGTTACCAGTGTGACTCCGTGCCAGTTGGACAGAGCAATCCTGCTCCATGAGGTGGCCTGGTCTGCCATCATAGGCGCCACATGACAGGGGCCATCTGCTGCACCGTCTTCTCAGGATGGGATGCCCTGTTGCCATGGCACCCAAGCCAATGCAGAGTGACGTCTGTGAGTCACATTTCCCTGGGATCTTTGCTGGGCTTCTGTGGCCTCTCCAAGGACGTGGGGACTGATCAGCCCTTGCAGGTGTAAATCCCATGTGCTGGTGAGTGTTTAGCATGGGACCAAAATTACTGTCAGCACAACAGTTAATGGCATGACTCTGATGGCCAAAACCAAAGACGTTCTCTGTTGGGCTCCACATACTAATTTAGGAGGCTTGACGCACCAAGAACTAAAGCATGGAGAAGAGTGCTTGTGGGGAAGGCTGCAGGCCGGCAGCCCACAGCCCAGTTTGGGATTTGAATGCCTTTCCGCCAGCTGTGCGCTCTGCATTTTGCAAAGGTCACCTGCACTGCCTTCCACCTTCCACTTTCTCTCTCTCTCTCTCTCTCTCTCTCTCTCTCAATGCCACCCATCTGACCCACAAAAGGATCTGAGTTGTTAACCTCTGGATGAAACTAGCATCTAGCCCAGAGAAAAGAGGAAATTAATGTTCCATGAGGAGCTTTTAAAAACATTTTTTTTATTGATTTCTGAGAAGTGAGGAGAGAGAGAGAGACACACACACATCAATAATGGGGGAGAATCATTGATAGGCTGCCTCCTGCATGCCCCTCACGGGGGATTGAGCCCACAACCTGGGCATGTGCCCTGACAGGGAATTGAACTGTGACCACCTGGTTCATAGGTCAACACTCAACCACTGAGCTACACCGGCAGGGCATGAGGAGCTTTTTAAAACCACTTATATTATTGGGAGAGGGGCAGAAATGCATCAGGGTAATAAAAATACAATGAAAAAGAATAGGAGGTGTTGCTTCTCTTATCTCAGAGATAACCACGTTTAATAATTGGCATATATCTTATAAAAGCATGTTAAATTTAAGGAATGAAGGCGAAAGCTGTCCTCTATATCTTGTAGATTGGAAAAAGAGCAAATAGTTTCAACCACAGACAGCATTTGAAAGAGCCTCATTGTCATCTGATCCAAGACCAGAGGAGACTGGGTAGAGCTCCCTTAGAGTTCTGCACTGGAGCCATCTGGACCAAGTCCAGTTACATCCTGACATGGTGGGGGTGGGGCGAAGGTGGCAATGGTGGTAGGAGATGGTACTAAATGTTACTTGAAATTCCTTCTGGCTCTAAATTTCTCTAATCTCAGACAACAAAGTGTTAGAGTGGATGAACTGAATTATCAGGTATAAACCATGAATATCAAGAGGAATGACCACTACCAACTCCATGGTCCTGAATGTGGCTCTACTTAAGCCTCCTGCTGTTGTCTCTCTGGGGTTGGGGGAATATATGGGCTGACTCATATTCTTCACTGGGAGACCTTGGGGCTGATCTGCAGGTTCAATCCTGGGGAGCTGGTTCAGCACTAACCATAACTTTTGGGAGAGACCCAAGGTCACTGTCAGCCTTTTGGGGTCCAACCACTGTCCCAAGAGACCTTTGGTCTAACATAGCTTAGTCCACTCTCCAGGAATAGGTGAGCAATGAGGTGGGGGCGGGGGCTGGGTGAGTCATCTCTGGCCGGCTGGGAAGAGAGGCCCAGGGTTGGCTTGTGATAAGTGGCAGGAAGTGGGTCTTTGCTTTCTATTTATAGTGTAAATAGTTTCCCTAAAAGAAACCTAAAATATCACTGATTGGTAGGGTTTAAAGAAACAGATGGGATCAAATTTTCCCCATCCTCCTACACCATCCCTGCCCTGCCAATCTCACCTTGTACTCTGAAGACCTAGCTTTTCCCGTCAAGAAAAGTAGAAATACCTCTGAACATTTTTAAGTGTTATGTGGTTGCATTTTGTTGGGAGATTATTTGTTGTTGACAGTTTTACTTCCTGGTTTCTTTGTGGGGCTTAGAAGAACACCAAAGCAATGGAAAAATGCATTTCTCCTGTTGAGCAGAGGCCCTCATTGTGCAGGAGGCAATAAGCCAGCCCTGGGCTCAGATGAATGGAACACGAGCATTTGGGGACAGAATGACAATTGTGTTGGATTTTCTTTGCGGGGGTTCTTCACATTTCCCTGTGTATAAGGGAGCAAAAAACGATTACAACTCCCTCATGCCATGCGGCAATAAGCCAGCCCTGGGCTCAGATGAATGGAACACAAGCATTTGGGGACAGAATGACAATTGTGCTGGATTTTCTTTTCGGGGGTTCTTCACATTTTCCCATGTATAAGGGAGCAAAAACGATTACTACTCCCTCATGCCATGTGGGGCTCAGAGCCACATTCTTTCACCTTCGGTTACCAACACCCTTCATTGTTCTCTGACTTATTTTGTGACCATTGGTCTTGTCTTCCCAATAGACCCAGTTTCTTGGGAACACAGCCCTTGTCTTAAACTTCTGTTCCCCACATGGGGCATGACCCAGGGTGGAACACGAGCTGTAGTTGGTTAAAAATGCCTTTTCTTCACTCTGGTGTCATGATGATTGAATAAATCCCAGGCAATTGTTTATTTTTATGGTCAAATGCTTGGTGGTGAATCCATACACAGTACGTAGTTGCGTACAGAATACGTATAGAAATTACCAGGAGAGGAAGAATCCCTTAAAGCCAGCTTTCTGCGTAGTGTTCACTGCAGTGTTGTTTACAATAGAAAAAAAAAAAAAGGCAGGGAGCACTTAAGTGTTCCTCAGTAGAGGAAGTTGGGTAAATTAGGGAACACCCATACATACAGGGAGATATAAGCAGCTATTTTAAGAATATGGTAGAGTCAAATGTTCATAAAAGATATCCAAGAAAGGTTAGATGGTATGATGCAATTTAAGTAAACAAGAACAAAAGGGATGTATCCACACACATGATACACACATAGAAAAAAAATTGGAAGTATATACAAGAAGCCTCATCCTGGTTATTGCTGAGGAATGGACTGGAGTCAGGAGTGGGAGCTTTTATGTGTTACATTTTCTGTCAGTGGTTGAAATGTTTTATCATGACTGCATTATTTTTATTTTTAAAAAAGTTAGAAAAACAAGCTATCTTTGGATGGCAATGAGAAAAGTTAACTCTACAAGTGCCCCTCCAGGGTGGTAGAGTGGGTCCAGGCAGAGGAGGGTGACGTGGGTGGGGATGAGGCGAGCTGAAGGAGTCGAAGGCACACATTTCCTTCACTGTGTGGTTCTTGGCTCTCTCTGATTGCGGTTTGCTGGCCAAACCAAACAACCTTCCAGCTCTATCCCAGGAGCTGGAGAAGGGACAGAGCATGAGAATGTTCTGAACCACAGCCGTCAGTGACTGAAGTGAGGACCTCTGGGACTTTCACCGACTGCGGCCACAGCTACCACCAACCCCACTCTGGAAGCCAGCCACGAACCCCCACGGCACTGACCAGCGAGGATCACATAGTTCAGGGCTTCACAGTTTGGGGTGAATCAAGTTGCTGTCTCATTCAAAGATCCCCAATAGCTCACCATTGTATTAAGTCCAAATCTTATTATGAAATGACTTCGTGTATCAAGTTCAAATTTACCTTAGTTCAGGGCTTTCTATGGTCAACCCTACACAACATTTTTAAACGTATTTGCTATGATTTCTCAGTACATATCAGCACAGATTCCAGCATTGCCTGGGTTCCAGTCCTAACTTTGCTTACCACTGTGTGACTTTGGACAAGT